TGTCTACCAGCGCGGGACTCGGAGGAGATAAGCAGACAGCCAAATATTCCCGTTGTGTTTTCCCAGCAAAAACAGGAGACGGAATACCAACCACTCAGACTGATGCCACAGGGTCAGGCCTGGAATGAGCCGCGCTTCCACATCTTACAAGCTGCACACACACAGACAGACACGGCTGCCAGCTCTTTCCACACTGAAGACAGAATTTGTTGATAATAAGGATGCACTTAATAATTGTTCTCTTGTCAATTTATCTGTTGATCTGTTTTTTAATCGAGCTATTAATCACTTTTTCTATCATATTTCAGAAGGCAGCGAAAATGCCTATTGTGTGAGTGCACATAAGACACACTAAATGTATGGATTTGTTCACATGTAGGTAAATGTAGACTGACTGATGCAACTGTGTGTGTATATTTGTGTATGTATGTAGATGTTAGAGGTTCATGTGTTGATCAGAATCAGAATCAGTGTTATTGGCCAGGTGTGACGGACACACAAGGAATTTGACTCAGGTACATCGGCTCTCAATGTGCAAGCAGTAAACCAGCATAAGGCTGTGTAATATAACAAAATAGCAGTATTAACATCAACAAACAGTGCAAACAATGCAGTAAAAGCAGTATAAACAGACAGTAAACAATGGAGACAAAGGACTGTTCATTGTTCATTGATCTGTATACATTTAATCAATATGTATGAAGTGAGCTATTGTGCAACTATACAATATGTGAATTATGTAAATGCGATAAAAGAAAAATGATTAGCCTCAAAAAATAAAATTCCCATTATATATTTCCAATTTAATTTGCTTGTTTTGACCTAGCAACAGCCCAGAATACAAAGGTCTTCAAAGTGGAATGTTGTGTTATCAGTAAAAAAAATTATTTTATTTTTTTTTGGCTTAATAGCATAAGCAATTACTTCATTATCAAACTGACTGTTGGTTAACTGCTCCTTCCAATGTCAAGAAAGGACTTAAATGTATCATGTAAGTCAACCTGAACAATTACTTTAAGTCCTGCAAGTCAGAAAAATGCAGAAAAAAACCCTGTGATTTGGCTGAAAGCTCCGTGCCAGCTGCTAAATGGACCCGAAGGTCCACTTGGTTTGAAAATGTTTCAACGTAAGAGAAACATCTGCAAATGTCCTGAGATGTATGCCTCCATTAAAAGAGGAGTAAAATAAAGAGTGCTGGAAAAAAAGATTTTGAAATGTGTCCGGTACGAGCATGCATGATGTTTAGTAGCCAGAGCAAATATCCATACAGCCAGTTAAGGATGGTTGTTTGTAAAAGTGTGGACCACACTCAAGCCGTCCAACTGGCTGACATTTGATTTGCATTTATTCTGAACAGAACATACCATTTAACACTGATGCTCAGGTAGGGACTTTGCCATACTGGCCCCCTTCCCTCTCAGTTTCCACCCATCATTAGTTGCTCTCTACTCTCTAAAATAGCCAGTAAAGACAAAACAGTACCTTAAAAATAACATTAAAAGATTATGTAACATGTGCACAGATTTTACTAAAAATGAAAAAACAAACGTATCAGTTATGGAGCACTTTTGGAAACAGGTTACGCATGTGTGCACATTTGCTGTGAGTATAAGTATATTCTTTATGTATACTGATATTTAGACATCGCCTGTTTCCTCACTAAGTTATTTTAACCTAGAGAATTTGCTCAGTTATTCAAACTTATGTAGACTCACTGTCTCCCTGTAACCAGCTGGGCTTTCATCCAAAAACACACACATGCATGTGTGCACACTTCTTAGTAAGTTCTTAGCATAACTAAAAGCCACAAAGTCATGGAACTGCAGTATCAATGTTAAATGACAGAAACAGAAATTAATCTAACATGCACATAAACAAACACACACACAATGGCCAGGGTTGCCAGGTTTGTGTATTTGGAATGTGAGGAATGCAGGTCAGTCAGTTTTCATCAGACCAGTGTGTCATCGCAGTCAACATTAAGGTCGCAAAGTGCCGTTAAAACACACATGCACATACGTATATGGAAGGCAGATGGGGTGTAACCAAAACAAGAATCTGGACTTAAGAAAATGCTTATTGGTCCTATAACACGACAGTGTCTCTCAACTTTGCACAAACAGCAGGAAAGGTGGTAGCAATGTATGAAAACAGTGAATGGGTTTAAAGGGAAGGGAGGGGAGAGACCGAGATTCCTCTGCTTGCTCTTGAGCAATGATGCCAATGTAGGAGGGTTGACATGCAACAACAACCCTTAGTGGTCAATGAACTTTGCTACACGATACAAACGAAGCCTGGTGAGGTTGAAACTGAAGACAGACACATCTGTACACCTGAACACGCAAAACCACAAACACAGAGCACAAGACAATAGTAGACTGAGAGGAGACAAGTGAGCCTTGATACTGATACTTTAGTATCAACCAAGCTGTGTCCGTATCAATACTTTTTTTGCTACAGACACTGTATATTGTATGTTGTATCAAAAACTGCTCACTATGTTTATTTAGGTTTGTTTGGAGATCATCTTTTCCCAGGCATGAGCAAGACACGCGGTGCGCCTGATTGTTTCACATCAGGATAAAACCAGGTTTACGCAGCCCTAGGCAGACAAGAATTAACATAAGCATATACATAGCACATACTGTACATACTAAAAAGAAATAAGGAATAGAAGGTTACTTCAACACAGTGTAAAATCTGAATCACAACGCTTTCTGTCAAAACAAGCTCATTTGGGTGCTGTGCACAAAGTTGTCATGCATAACACACACTCAGAAGATAAAACATTTTTCGACATATACAAAGTCACTTAGGACAATTTGCTGACGCGATGGACGATATAACCCTGTTCCACAGCAGCTCCCAGCCTGTCATTAAATGTCTTACAGTTTGTTTTCAGTGTGAGAGTGTGTGGCACCAGGGATAACATGTTTTGATATATATGAGTCCAGTTGTTTCTCATCTTTGTTGATGGCTGATTTAACCTCTGGACAAATGACACACTCAAACTAGCATATATTTTCTGTGAGTGTACATTTTTGCCATGATTACAGCCAAAATGTCGCCTACAGGTGATGCATGCACTGAGTGTGTGCCCTTGGAGTGAAAGGTGCACCTCCAGGAGAAAACGGGCTTAACAAGACCGTCACCGGACTGCACGTGGCATCCACCAGGATCACCGTGGACAGTGACTTATGGGTGATGACAGAAGGGGAGTAGAGGGGCATCTGGATCAGTGCGCACGCACACATGCACACAGACGCGCTGTCATCTCTCATACACACAAACACGTGCAGCCTAAGAGGGTAGGATCACTGGGAACCAGATGCGCTGAAATACTTATTGTCTCATGTTGTTATATAATTAAAAAAGAGTAAACAGAGCTCACCAGCTTTGCATGGGTCTTTGTAGTCAATGTTCTCCGCTCTCTCCTCTTCATAATAATAATAGTCTGACTCTTCGTAGTCGAAGCAGTTACAAATAGTCACTTTTCCCCAAAAAGTCAAGCCGGCAAGCATCAACGTGATCCAGCGCATCTTAGCGTCCAGTGCCAAGGGCACTCGGTCCATCTGAAGACTGAAATAAACGAATAAAGGCCTCTGGTCGTCTCCTCCGCTCTTAGGAGATGGTCAATCCACTCTCCAGAGAAAGCATCGGCGGTAGGATTTTAGCGGGTCATTGCGATGACTGGTATTGTCGTGGATACTGTATGCTTCTCTAAGTTACTGTTCCCGGTTCTCCTCCATGGTAAAGTACACCGGGGTATAAATCTGTCCTCCCGGGATCTCTCAGTTAGCGTAGTGCGCTGAGGGGCTCCGCTGTGCTCCACTGTGGCTTCGCAGGTGAGACTACTGTGGGGAAAATAAGAGAGAGAAGCGGTGAGGGAATCAGGACTGGATGGTTTCGGAGCGTAAAGACGCACGGCGTGTGTCCTGCTCACTAAGAAACATCCGACTCGCGAATTCCCAACCAGCACGGTAATCACAGTTATCTCGCGTAGTGCAACCTCTCTCTCTCTCTCTCTCTTTCTCTCTCTCTCTCTCTCTCTCTCTCTCTCGCGCGTGTCCGGTAGTGGAAGCTCACAACCAGAATCAACGCACCGCCTAAACACACAAACACACACATACAGTCACACTGCTACGACCCAAGTAGTGCAGAACCAAAACTTTCTCTCCTTTTGTCGCTATTCACTGAGCACTTGAAGACGTTTCCGTGTGCAAAGACTGTCTCTCATTCTCTCTTACACACACACACACACACGCGCGCGCATACACGACATCTCCCAGAAGATGCTAGTGAGTTACTTCAGAGGCGCATTTCTCATCCCTGCGCGGTGTCATTGGAGGAAGCCGTATAGATCATTAAAGGTTGTTGGACCTCAGCTCCCATGGATCTGTTAAAGAAAGTGAAGTTACCCCAACCCGCGCCTCGGGTCTCCACGTTTTACACCATCCCCTTAGCAGTATATCGAGATTTAGGCGGGTATACTGGCTTTCCTGTGTACAGCCTCGCTATAGGCTACACTGTAAGGTGGTAGAGAAATAGAGACTAAATGAGCAACGGCACTCAGTCATCACGAGGCCCAACATAGCCTGCGAGTGTTTGTGGAATGCTGAAAACAATTAACCCCTGATCAATTACCCAAAACCAGCACCTTTTGACAATTCTGAGCTTTATTTCTAATGACTGATTTTGTTCATGGTTGTTTGTTTTTCTGTAAACTCAGCTCTTCCAGTTGAAATGTTAACAGTGCGTTCTCTTTCCAATTGTACCATCGACCTGTTAATAACAGATGAGTGAACGGAGTATGGCTCATGGTCCGCTGCATCCCTGACACCGCACGCACAGTAAAGGAACTCCTACCGTGTGCGCAGCCACAGAACGTTTTAAATTAAACAAGATATAATTTACAGTCAGTTTAATTTGGCGCTTTTCCATCATTTTGCGCGAGCGTAAAGTTGTCAACAACCACTCATAATATACCAAGCGCATCCTATACGCACACACACGAAAGGCACAAGCAGTAAAAATAAAAGCGCGGCAGACAAGCTGTGCAGCCCGTGAACACCTTGTTGATGCAAATCCTCCTGAGAGGAGCTCTCCCTACGTCTACCTGCTGCGTTTACCTGCCCGGGGTGCATCGGTTTGTTGTGCCATGACGAAGGGACCTATCATTCTTCAAATGCAGGGATCATCTCAGGAGTCTCATGGTGCCATACGGTACTGGTATCTCCGAATGTTACAGGACATTACAGGAGCTCTGTCTCTGCTGCTCCGGTATAATGGTAGCGGCTCGCTGACGTCCCTCTATCAATCCAGCCGCAAGCTGTTCACCATAGGCCTCAGGGCATGGACACAAATCCCCTGGAAGTACACGCACACACACACAGTTTGTAAATTGTAGGTCAACACTCCTGATTTTTGTCCCCAGAATAGGTGACAACCTGAACCTTTAACAAGATGAAAGTAGCATCTACAATTCTCAGATCAGTAGGTTGACATTGTTCAAAATAGAGTTGATACCAATCAGAAAACATTAATGCAGACTAAATGGTTTTGTAAGGCTTTGCCACAGTAGCATAAGCATGATAACTGCTAAGCTGGTAGGCTATAATGTCTACCATGTTCATTTAGCATGGTAACATTTGATAATTAGCACAAAACACAAAGAATAGTTTATGCTGGAGGGAATTCCCCCCTGGTTTTTTCATAAACCACAGTACTGGACAAAATAAATATGTTACCTGATGGTGGTGCTAAATAAAAAGCCAGGGAATCTCCAAACTTGTTTCTATTCATCCTGAGGTGGGTAGGAATGTCTACCAAATTTCATGGCAATCTATTACTTAGTCAAGTGACATATCACTCAAAACCATAAATGTCAACCTCATGGTGGTGCTAGAGGAAAGGTCCGGGAATAATGAATAATTAAGAATCATCTGGGAACCATGAAACTCCATGCTAAATCTATGGGATAATTTTCCTGAATAAATGAAGTGTTTGACCAGATGGTGGAACTAGAGGAGAAGCCAGGGGAGGACCTAGTGTGTGGGATTCATCTTCTGGTCAACAGAAATGTATGTCTACACAAGTTCATGAAAATTCTTTAGTTGTTAAAATATTTCAGTCTCCAAAATGGCAGACAGACAACTCCCAGGCATTGCCACCCCTAGAGCCACGCACCTTCAGTATGGTCAAAAAGGTTCTTCAAGAACAGTGAGCTTTTAAATATTAGGAAAACAGCATTACTGCTAATTGACAGGAACAAGACCAGCAAATTTATTTTAAAAGCTGGTTGGATAATTAGATTTATTCCTGATGTATTAGAAGAGGTTTTGGGGGAAAGAACCAGGCAGAGAGTTCCAACCATACTTCAGACTGAAGGTTATCCTGAATTGTGTTGTCTACTAATTGTATGGCGCGTCTGCTGAACAACCAAGACACTTCACAAAACAACTGAGGAAGTTGCTTTAAAAGATGTGGGTAAGAATTCTTAACATAATTTGTAGATGGATCACTTATGATCCGCCTTTTATCAACTGATCATTGATGTAGCTCAGGTGGGATGCTAAACTGCACCAATATCCTCTTGAAATATATGTTATCGGTGTGTTAGTGTGTTGCTACTGTTGCGACAATAGGCTACATCTGATATGTCTCCTGTTGTTTATCACTGAGCATGGGCGTCCAAACAGGTTGACTCTGTGGAGACATAAGTTTTTAAAACTAAATAAACCAAAACTTACAGTACTGTATGGAACACCTCCTTACAACACTGTGTGTGTGTGTGTGTGTGTGTGTGTGTGTGTGTGTGTGGTCTGGATTCCTCTCCTGGGTTACTGCTAATTAACACTGGGGAAGGCAATGACTGGCATTTGGGCCTTTCCAACTTTCCTGTACCTCTGTATGGTTGCCATCTAGCCAATCTATTCAGCAAAATGCTTCCTTCTTAAATTGGATGCAGCTATTGAGATTAATGCTGTGTACAGGTATGTGCGTCCCTATTTAAAGTATTTATCGATCAGTGTGTCTCTGAAACTCTGTGAAAGTACCTCACCAGCATTCTGACCCAGCACACTGACCACCACCTCTCCCCTCCTTGAAACTGCACACACACACACACACATTAGTATTGCAATCTTTGTGAGGACATTCATTGACAATGTATTCCTTAGCCTTGTACTCTAACCTCAAGCATCCAACTAAACGCCTAACATTCAACCCTTCCTCTAACCTAAACCTAATTCTACCCTTAAACTTAAAAACCAAGTCTGAGCTCTGAAACAACCCTTTGAGGAGGCGTGAGAAAGTGAGGACCAGGCAAAATGTCCTCAGGCCAATGGTATAACACTCAAACAGGTCCCCATACTGCTGGCAATATACTCTAGGTACACACACATCAGGAGGAACGTGCAATCTGAGCAGCAGCCCCTTGAGACTTCCCAAGTGCTGTGCACTGCAGGTATTGGAGCACGACTTTTAGCTTTGCTTTTCGCAAGCACACTTTGCCATCAATTCTATATGCAGAACTACTTGTAAGTACTTGTTTAACTTTAAAGTAGTGTCAAAGGGAAATGAAACACAAAAAGAGGCAGGACATTAGATCTCCCCAGTAAACTGGTGAATTTAAGTCCAGTGAGGCAACTATAAAAAGTGCTTTCATAGCAGTTAAGTGATTAAGGTAAAAAATCCTGCACACTGTTGATCATTTGCAAAGGAAGGTGGATGAAGACACAGCTTAAATGATAAGAATACCTGAGGTAAGAAAAATAAGAAAATAATATGTTTTCTCTCAGGCCTGCTGACTGTCAGAGTGTCTTAAGTATGAAATTCCCCCAGAGGGAGCAAAGAGGTGGCCAGAGACATCCATCACCTTTTGGCTAAAATACCACAGGAAGACAGTCTGCTGACACCACAGCAAAGCACAACAGAGTACGATAATGCGTGGATATTGTTTAGTGGCTCCAACAATACGGACAACAACATGGAGGTCAATTTCTCTGCTTTAAAGCAACTACGAACTTTAAAGTAACTTAAGGTAAAGTTTATGGCCATTATCAAGCCTTTTTCTTTTAACTTTTAGGTTCGACTGTACTGTAGCGCATACGCACCACACACACACACACACACACACTCCTGAATACTCATTTAAGCTACTGTATGTGAAGTAGTCTCTCCTTATGTAAACAGAAAGCGTGAAAGGAAGACAAGGTACAGAGAGGAAATCCTCTGTTTAAATGCCAAGCTTTGCGTGCCAATCTCTCTCTCCTGTTCGTATTTCCTTTTTTCTGTACCTCTCAGGCTTCATCTCTCCTCCACTGCACATTGTGTTTGTGCAGGTGGGCGTGACTGCGCCAGTGTGTGCTTGCCAAGCTCGAGGTTCACACTGATGATCCTGGTCGTGCATTAGAAAAGATGATTTGTTTTTCATGCTACCAGAATTTACTGAGGGGAGAAAAAGAAGGAACACAGGATGCACGCTGGCATGAAGCAGCAGCTACAAAGAGAAAAGAAATGGAAGAAGATAAAAAGGAATACTGGAAAAGATGGCAGGAAAGACGAGATGGATATTGTCTCAGTGTCAATAATATACACTACTGTTAGGTCAATCATTAAAAAGTTATGAATTATAGTGCTCTTTTTCCATAATAAAACAACTGATGTGATCTATGTTTGCTGCGAAATCAAAGTAAATTTGGCATTTAAACAATAGATGAAGTAAAAGCAGGTTACTTGAATTATAAATTAAACAACATAAAATAATTATTTTGTTTAAAATTGTCTAGAGTTCACTCCCATCTGTCACTTTTCAGCAAATGGGAAAACAAAATCCAAACTTTGGGGTGGCTGTGGCTCAGGAGGTAGAGCGGGTCGTTTCCTAACCGGAGGATTAGCGGTTCGATTCCTGGCTTGTCCAGTCAACATGTCAAAGTGTCCTTGAGCAAGACACTGACCCCCCCCAGTTGCTCCGGATGATGTGAATGGCTGAATAATGTGAAAGCGCTTTGAGTGTGCTGTAAAAGCGTAGAAAGGCGCTATACAAGTATAAGACCATTTACTTTTAAACAGTTTTACACAATTTCCAGGCTTCTTGAGAAGCAACATTAGATCAGTAAATAACTAGTCACAATACTGTATAAAAATGAATCCAGTTACCCCAGTCTCCCCACAGTGGACTCTGGTTTTTACTGGTTTCATGTAAGGAAATACACATACTTTATCTACATGAAGAGTGACTAGTGCATTGTTCACTGTAGCTAACCTTACTATAGCTGCTGGGAAAACCTATTAACATAAATTTGTGGATTAGATCATTTTAGAGTGACTTATTAGTTGATCGGGACATTTTTTTCATTGCTGTAAAAGAAGGGTAACAGCTGGATCAAAAACCAGTGATGCTGGTTTGGATTTATCTGAACTGAACAGAGACCGACAGAGAAACATACAGAGTGAGCGATAACTCCACAAACAGACTGTTCACACCATCTTGCTGCTTTGAAATCTGAAGATGCTGTATGTGTATGTGTATGTGCAAATGTAAACAGTAGCCCCCTGCTGACACAGCACTTCTTCAGGAACTTGGGATTGTGTGTGTGTGTGTGTGTGTGTGTGTGCGTGCGTGCGTGCACTGGCCTCTGCTCCCTGCAGATATGCTTCCTTTCAGAGAGACTGGAGAAATAAGTGGCAAAGACCTCAGTTTGTGTGAATGTGTGTGTGGATGGGGGTGGCTGCAACACTGGTGCACTGTAAAATGTGTGTCCTTCTACAACTCATACAAAATTAGTAAAATAGAGTTTTTCACATTTAATGCAAAGCACCTCTCCCCACACAGAGGCATGCTTGTGAAATTCACAATGAAGATTTTCAAATTATGTTTTCACACACTTGTTTTTACTTTTCAGTCCCCTGCAGAAAAATGGCAACATTTATCATAGAAATTTTTGAAGCTACTGATCATGACAGAAAAACTTTTTCCCCTATTTTGTTTTTATGTACAATGGTTGTGTGGAATGAAAAAAAAAATGTTTAAAGCTATTCTACCAATTTTTTTTCAACCTTGAGGATCTAGTGAGACATCATAAGCTGCTCCTAACCGCTTTGCCCCACCCATCACGTCCCGTGTCCTAGCAATGACATAAAGTATAGATCCTGGTTGCGACAAATTGTACAAAATGCAGCCTTCACTTCGAAGCTAGCGGTAAATTGGTCAATCCAGTAGAACACTCTACTAATGTCACACAAACCACTAATGTTACACAAAGCTCAAATTAC